TGCCCCAGCTTCAAAGTAACCCCTGCTGCCGAGGGGATGGCCAAGTAGGGTCAACAACATTGCAGGCAGGACTGTCTATTAACTAATTAATGTTTTCCTTTTAAAAATGCCACCTACCTTCTCTTCAAGCCAGCTCTCCTCCCAGGCCAGCTAGGTAATGGAAGTCAACAGGATGCCTCCCTTACGATGTACCACATGTAAAGAGATAGATAGGTCTGAGCCTCATAACTGACAAGGCCTTAAGCCCACCTGATTATTTTCAAGCCCTTTCTGTCAGTCTGTATTTGCCTCTCAAAAAACAAAAACAAATAAACAAACAAAAAACAAAAAAAAAACTTGCTCTTAGAATGACTCTCCTTGGTTTTAGAACCTGTGATTTTAGATCCTATGAGTTTAAACTGCTTGTTAGATTTGTTTTCTCCTGAATTAAAAAGTAAAATTCTAGGTGGCCATGCCCATGAAACCTCCCATGGAAGCAGTTTCTGCAAGACTCGCACTGCATCCCCCTGGAGAAGCCACCTCCTGCTGCAAACCTGTCTTGACTCCCATTCCCAAAATTGCTCCTTTTCAGCAGGAAGCAGCCAGAGCTATTGTCCACCCAGTTTCCCCTAACAGATGTTAGGACTTCCATCTCTTCTCTCTTGGTTCTGCTCTCTTGGTCCTTCTCTCCTGCGCTCTCTTGGCTTCTTTCCTCCTCTCGTCTCTCTTCTCTCTCCTCTCTGCTCTCTCCTCTCTCTTAGCTCCTCTCCTCTCTGTCTCTCTCTTATTCTCTCTTTCTCTCTTTTTCCTTCGCCGCCCCTTCACTCCAGTCTGTAGGGTGTTCCCCAATAAACCCTTTCCCTTACTCCGGTGTCCGGTGTGTTTTGTGACAGCTAACATTAATATATAACACTCTGTAACAGCAAGTCTGGGGGAAGCTGAATCTAGGAACCAGGAACTCCATCGTGGTTTCCCATATAGGTACCAGGGGGCCAAGAATATGAGCCATCTTCTGCTGCCTTCCCATGTTAATGCAGGAGGCTGGATCAGAAGCAGAGCAGCCAGGACTTGAACATGCAGTCAGATGTGGGCTGCCAGCATTGCAAGTGGTATCTTAACCTGCTGTGTCGCAATCCCAACCCCCTATTTTGCAGCATTTCTGACTTTATATTGTAGAATTATCCTTAAGTTTCTGAATAATTTTTAATCTATGACAACCAATTTTAGTATAACTTTTAATTCATTATATCTACATAAATTTATTTACCTCAATTTAAATATTATAGTTTATTTTTTCCTGCTATAGCTTCCTTCTATGTTTGTACTTACACTTTGAAAACATGACATAAATTTTAGAACATTCTGAATAATTACTGAGTCAATCCACAGGGGAAAATGTCTGAACCCCTGCATGTTGAATAGGCTGCCATGGGTGAATGCACAGGGAGGAAGGGAAGCCCTTTTTCAATACACACAGGACGGTCTGTTGTCAGTGCAGCCCTGGGTGGATGAGTTGTGTGTCTTATTATCATTAGCTGAAACAGAAAATATTCAAAATATTCAATATATGGCCCAAGAATCCCCCATAGTGTTTGAAAGTCTTATGCAGAGAATGACTAGCCATGCGTTTTATATTATTTAAACTACACATGTCCCCAAATAGGCTTTCTGAACTGAATTTTAAGGCTTTTCGTCTTTTAGACAGAAGAGCGATGATTATCTAGAAGAGATTTTTCCAAATGTGCTCAGGAACCCCACAAAAATATTAACAGATTTTCCTATGGAAAAAAATATTCCAAAACCAAATAAATTCGTTATATGCTGGAATAAACAAAGAAAAAAACGCTTCATGAAAGAGCTTCTCAAAATCTTTAAGCCAAAAAATAAGTTCTGTGAATCATTAGAGGAAAATGTAATATGCAGAGTGTGGAAAACACTGATATTTTAAGTGACTGCATACTATGATTCTAAATAATAAGGTTAGGATCACCTCATACATACTCTTTCCACAGTACTTCCTAAGAATACTTGGTACTTAGCTGACTCCTAATACATTAACACTGACTTTGGGGAAGGCTTTCATGTCTTCTAAATCCCTTTGACTTCCAAAATAAAGTTCATATACTTCAATGTATAATGAAACATATCTTGTGTGACGGAACAATTTGAGGAAAGATATGCTTGGGGAACTTGAATATAAAGAAAAAGTTCAAACCTTAAATGGATTATAATCTTTTTTAGTACGCAGCCTAAGTATTATTATTTTAATGGAATTTTAGGTAATAATGAAGTCTTTATACATGATACAAAGTCAAGACAGCTTACTACTACTTATTGTGAGCTATAAATATAGCCTAACAGGAATCAGTCTTGTTTAATTTTAACCATAAACTTGAATAAATAGCAGTATCAAACCTATGCAGAAGTTAGTTACTGAAAAATATCAAGAATCAATAAGCAGTAACATACTGTAGCCAACTATACTTCACAGTATTACCTATGAGATGGGGAGCATTTACAGCTGAACAGCCTGCAGCCTCTGCTCCCTATCCGTTAGACACACTTTGTTCTGTTCCCCAACTCCTCATTGGAAACCATTCTTTCTCAGGAATTTATCACAAGATTGATGGGAGGAGGTAGAAGCAAAACATCTCTGTGCTGTGTGTGTGTGTGTGTGTGTGTGTGTGTGGTTTGGTAGGTATACAGCTATGCATGTGCACCTATGAGAGTACACAAAAAGAACATACATGGAAGAATTTGCCTGTGTAAGAAGCCTTGTCCACTCCTCTGTCTCCCTTTTTTCTCTTTCTATTCCTTCTAATTATTTTAAGAAGGTCAAATATATACCACATATGGATACTCAGTAATGTAAAAAAACCCAAGATTACAAGAAAGTAAGATCTCCATGTTAGCTTAAGGGAAAACTTCTTTAACTATTATCTTTACAGCCTAATGTACATAATCCACTTACATAAAATAAACTCTGAGACCGTATGTATTTCATCTCCAGAGAAGGGGGGAAAAGCTTAAAACATAGAAATGCCTAGAGAAAACTGATTTATCCTTATGGAATTTATTTGTACCATTTTAAGTCTACTCCTGTCCCTAATATTTTAAGTCAAGAAGAATCCTAGGAATCAAGAAAGGAAGAAATCCACTATGTTTTGCCTCTTGCTATGACATAGTTAAAATCAGAATTGGTTTTTTGTAACATTTTCCCTACAAAGTAATGCTAGCTCCAAAGCAGTAACATGAAGATTCCCCCATTCTATTCAGATAAAATCACTTTTGTTGTTGAGCTTCCTTAGGTTCCTCTGTTCATTGTTTTCCTCCTTCAAAATTATTCATCCCAATTTATCCTGAAGATATTTTTTTATAGATTCACATTCTCTCAAATTTCAAGAGAATGAAAATGGACCCACAATTTACCCTTTGAAATTGATTAGTCATATAAATTCTATTAATTAGTAATAATTTATAGCATAGGATTCAAGGTACATGACTCTGTAATAAATATAAAGTAAAAATAGTTCAAATTTTATGATTTTATAATTATCTAACTAAATTGGTTTTAGTGATTAAAAGTGAAAAGCTCCTTGGTTACATGCTATTTATCAATGTTCTACACAAAATTCTATAGACTTTCAAATAAAATCTTATTAATATCTCAATAAAAAGAAACCAGAGTAATTTTTACCACTTGATCCTGAGTAGCTCAATATTGCTATCTTCTATTTAGCTCTTTTAATTCTTTCTTCAGTTTTAAAGGACATTATATAAGAATGAGAAACAAAATATTTTCCATTAATATTTTTTATCAGCTGAAATTGCTTATGTAGATTGATTATTGAAGTACAAAACTGTTAGATAACAGAAAGATACTTTCGATTTACATCAGGAGTCAAGCTATGTGAAAGGATATCAAGGAAGAATGAATTTTTAAGATGCAGCTTATTTTACATCATCAAATTATGCAATAATATTAGGATTTTGGAGTATGATAAATCTATTTATTCTTATTTTTACAACATTTATATTTATAGAGTCTCTCATCAAACACCAAATTCCTTTATAAATACCGCTCTTTCTGAAAACTAATTAAGGAAAATACAAAAGATCCTTTACTCTAGACAGCTCTCAGAGTCTGAGGTCTTTTCACTTGTACCAGGGGCCTTCTAAGTGTTCACGGAAAATGCGCATCACAAAATAAAAAAAGAAACTACTCATGAATTTCAATTTGTTTTTGTATCCAAATAAACACTTAGGTTTTAATTCTATTTTTCCATGAACTTTGAGAAATGTCCTTGAATGTGCCTTATAAGAACACAAGAGTACCATTTGTAATTTAAACACACTTGATACACTCATCTGACCAGTTACATAATATGAATGAGAGATGTACCTTTTTTTTTTATCACATCAATGAAACTCTACCCTGGAAAGAGCCCATTATGATACTAAAGATCTGGGAAAGTATAGCCTGAGGCGAAAAAATAACCTGGTGCTTTTTTTTTCTTCTTTTTTAGTACAAAAACAAAAGCAAAACTGTCTACCATGCATATATACATATACATATGAATATGCACAAACGTATGCATGCATGCGTGTATACAGGTGTATGTGCGTAGCTTTCAAAATACACTAATGTTGTCGAGTAGCTGCGACAGAGACTGTTCTGAAAAGCTTGCAATATTTATTATCTAGCCAATTACAGGCAAAGCTTTTCTGACGCTGGAATTAAAGCTACTCCGCGGATTTAATTTTGTTCGAGGAAACTCTTGCAGTGTGACTCTGAGCAGCCGCTAAAACGACGACTGCGGCTCCAGCTGTGTCTGCTAGTTCAGGTGTTCTGCTGATGACACTACCCCATAGGGGATGACAGCTCAAATGACCCAGTTATTTTAATGAGACATCTGTTATTTGACCTCAACTGTATTCTAGAAAGCCTATTCAAGAAGCGACTTGCACTTTATGCTTAGGATATAGAGATTGAGTCGATATAAAAAGTGTTTCCAACTCACCTGATCCTACCCCTGGGGCGCTCAGACTGCTCTGACATAAAGCTGGTGCTGCTGAGGCGGGAGGCACTGCTGGTTCGGGATATGGCGGACACATCGCTGACATCGCTATCTGATGATCTGGCAGAGACGTTATCACAGCTTCTGTACTGATCTTTATGTATGTTATACTAAAGATCAAAGACAAGAAAGGGTGAGCTCCGTCATCAGATCATGGAAATAAGAGACATACATGGTGAGGTTCATGTCCACTGAGCCCCCAGAGAACAAAAATGCAGCTTTGTAGAAGTAGGGCATGGAATTAAAAATAACCCAAATGTTAACATAATAGATGATTTCTGATATTAAAATCTTCCAAATTCTAATTGGTAAGAAATGGCATATGAAGATGAAATTATAAATTAAGCACAAAAATTAAACACTTGGATGGGAAATTCATTGAATTACTTGAACATACTTTAAACATAAAATTACATTATTCATTTTTCCCAGCACATCAGTTCTCTTTTCTTGTTTTCATTTTCATTATTGCCTGCTTCACTCATCTTCTATTCTACTCATGATACAGGGAGCTTCTGTCTAGATTTTATTCTTTCTAAAAGATTCCTACATACTTTCCTTATTCCAGGACATCATATTGTGTCTCAAATTTGTTAAAAAAATGTAGCTGTTCACCCCAAAAAGGGCTGATTTCAAAGCAGAAGGACAGGGGCCACCATCATGGCACAGTGGGTTAAGCCCCCACCTGCGATGCTGGCATCCCATGTAGGTACCAGTTCATATCCCGGCTGCTCCTCTTCTGATCCAGCTCTCTCTGCTAATGGCTCAGGAGAAACAACAGAAGACAGCCCAAGTGTTTGTGCCCATGCACTCACAGAGGGAGTCCTGGATGAAAGTCTTGGCTCCTGGCTTCTGCCTGGCTCAGTTCTGGGTGTTGTGGTCATCTGGAGAGTGAACCAGTGGATGGATTCTCTCTCTCTCCCACTCCCTCTCTCTTTAGTTCTGACTTTCAAATAAATAAATAATTCTTTAAAAACAAAAAGCCGAAGGACTGTGCCAAAATGTAGGGGATTTTCTAGTATTAGTTTGACAGCAGAACAAATGTTTCCCTTTATTTGGTAATTGCCATATTAAGCAGTACAGACAAAGCATAAAGATATGTGAGCACCCAAGGAAATAGTTCTCCAACTAAAGGAATCTCCCTTTCTCAACGTGTCTGTGTATGGATTTTTACTATTCCAGCAATGAGACAAAGGAAGGATCTTAAAAACTGTCATAACACATTTTTCTATATTGGGATAAAGAACACTCATTCTGATATAGATCATAATTTTCATCCCATTGGTTATTTGAAATATATTAAAGATTTTTATATCTTTTTACTACTTCATTTAGTTTTGAAAAATATGCTCAAACTTTAATCATTTTGACTTTTTATGAGGCATAATTCATTGAATTTTCTATTTAACAACTTAACATTTTAATGGAAATGCATTAACTATATTTTGGGGAACACAATATCCTTGAGAGGAGCTTATACTGACCATGCAGTAGAGAAATAAGACTTTTATATGAGAGGAAACTCTCATTATAGGGATACTAGCAAACCCATGACATCAATCTTGGTTGCTGTTCCTGGGTTACAGTGACAGAAGCACTCTTTAAAATGTGCATGACTGTGAATTCACCCTTCGATTGTGAATTTCACTCCATCATTAAGGCTTGCAACTCTGTACTGTCACTGATGAAACAAAAGCATATCAAACAAGCAATTTTGTGTTTTTTCAAAAAGCAAAGTGAGTGTAAATTCCTTACTCAGGATGGATGTTAGGTTCCTGCAATCTTTTGAAAGAGGCACCAGGTTTCAAAAAACATCCCCGGAATTATAATTGTCTGATAGTTGTTTTATCTTGAAAAAATCAAGTTCTACTGGTGCCAGGTTAAAATATTTTGAGAATGGTGAACTAATTTCTGACTTACTAGAATTTTCAGCTAAAGTGTATTGCTTCATCAAAATGCAACCTACATTAAATTAATGATAATACTGGCACCTGAGTATAGCAATAAAAGTAAAAATAGATATTTGAAACAAATTATCAAATGCTTTATATTAAATAATAAAAATTTTAAAAGGTTGATTTCTCAAATATATGAGGGAAGTCTAAGTGAACAAAAATAGCTACTGGAAACTATCAAAAGATTCTAATGTGGGGCTAGCTCTGTGGCATAGTGGGTAAAGCCGCCTCCTGCAGTGCCAGCATCCCACATGGTGCCAGTTCGAGTCCTGGCTGCTCCAATTCACATCCAGCTCCCTGGTAATGCACCTGGGAAAGCAGCAGAAAATGGCCCAAGTCACAAGGCCCAGGGAGGAGACCTGGATTAAGCTCCTGGCTCCTGGCAATGGATAGGCTCAGCTCTGGCCTTTGCGGTCTTTGGGGGAATGAACCAGCAGATGGAAGACTTTCTATCTCTCTCTCTCTTTCTCTCTCTGTAACTCTTTCAAGTAAATAAAATAAATCTTTTTAAAAAGTTAATTAAAATTGTGAGGAATATTTACCTTTTACTGTATATATAAAATAAAAAGTAAGCTATTCATTTGTTATTTTAAATTTTTCTCATACCATATTCCTACAAGTTTTAAAAGCAACAGTATTTCTGATTTCACATTTAATGATTGAGATTATAAGCTATAGTAATTTTATTTAAGCAGTATAAAGGTATCAGTTTAGACAATAAGAGCCAAAGTAATGTATCTGAACATAATTTTTTAAATTATTCCAATGTAATACAAGGGTGGGGGGAAGAGTACTTGTGCAAAGGAAAAAGCAAAGAAAAGAACATGCTATTTTAATTGTATGTAGATTAAATGCTATGTGAGGACCTCTGAATCAAGCTTGGGAACACTTAAATGATACAAGAATCGGAACAAAGTGGTACCTTTGTTCAAATCATGTGTTTGGGTCTCCACAGATAGGTTTCATCCTTTCTCCTGAGCCTCAGTGTTCATGACTTTGTTAAATAAGTAAGCTGGAATCCAAGATTATCTTGAGATGTTTTTAAGTTCTAAATGGCTGTGAATCAGAGAATTTGATGCCTCTCAAACAAGAGTAGCCGACTCTTGACTTACTATGATTACACGTGTTAGTGGTGAGTTAAGACTTTCAGGGCACTTCATTTTGCAGATTTTTTTTTTTTTAATTGGAAGTTGAATGAATGATCGTTAGAGCCATACTTCAGAATGATTCAGAGTCAGCAAGGCTTTCAGCAATGTTACCACAATTCCTGACTTACTTCCTTCTTGAGTCCTATCCTGGCCCTACCTCCCCTTGCTGTTCCATTTGACCTTATCCTTTCCCATAAAGATAAAAAAAACTGATGAGTTGTTTCTGAATTTAATGAAGTTTTCGTTTAACTGCTTCCAACTACAGAGGGAAAAAAGTCCTGTATTACATTGCCTCCTAATTTTTACTGTATTTGTAGTAAAAGTCAACACCGATGAAGGTATTTATGAAGAAAGACGAATAAGCTGATTAGGTGATGGTAACATGAAGAATAAGCTGCGCAGAAATTGAACAAAGCTAGAATCAGCAGTTCTATGGGGTATCAAGATACTCTGCTCACTGTATTATTTCTTGTTTGCTTCACTCATCTTATTCTGTGAGAGCTGTTTCAGACTGTTAGGGAGTAGAGGCATCATGGAAGCACAGTGACCAACTATATTTCCTGAGTTGGAAACCCTTCTCTAACCTCGGTGAGGAATGGCAGATGATATACAACACACAACTCGATGGTGGTCTGGGTAATATATCCATGTAACTGCCTCTTTTTTTTTTTTTTTTGTATTAGTCACTGAATATCTGATTATAAAATGAACCACCTTCTTATTTGAAAATATTTTTTCTAGCTCTATATTTTAAGCTCACAATATTGACTTAATGCAGTTATTTTTAAACTTTTGATTTCTAACAGGTAATTACTTCCACAAATTGATAACAAATTATACCAAAGGATGCCCTACAATGGCTGCTTCTACTTTCGTAGTACTCTGAAAAGAAGAGGTTTGGGCCTGGTAGTTGGAGTGGCTGTTAAGATGCTGACCAAGTGCCCACATTCCATACTGAAGTGCTTGGGTCTGTGTCCCTGCTCTGCTTCTCATCTCAGCATTCTGCTAATGTGCACCCTGGAAAGCAGCTCAAGTACTTGGGTCCTTAACACCCATGTGGGTGACCTGTATGGAGTTCCTGGCTCCAGGCTTTAACATGGCACAGCATAGCTTTTGCAGGTATTTGGGGAGTGAACCAGCAGATGGAAGATCTCTCCCTGCCTATCTGTCTCTCTCCTTCTACTTTTCTCTTTCAAATAAATAATTAAAAAATTTTAAATGGATATAAATAAGTCAGGTAGTAGATGTAAAATTACCTCATGAATTATAAATTTAGCTATTTCAACTAAAATTCTTAGATATTAGCAGTTAATGAACTTAAGACTCTCCTTAGAACATTAACATATAAATTAAATTATTATTTACAGTTGAATTTTGTGAATTTCACCTTCTACAACTTTGAAATCAGTTACTACTCTTACTGAAGATATCAATAGTATCACATCACATACTTTTTATTTTTCATTAACATACCTGCCCTACACCTTATACAAAAATCAACTCAAAATTGATCAAGGCTCTAAATCTATGATCTATTACCATCAAAGTACTAGAAGAGGGGCTGGTGCTGTGGCGTAGCGGGTAAAGCCACTGCCTACAGTGCTGGTATCCCACATGGGCACTGGTTGTGTTCCAGCTGCTCTTCTTCCAATTCAGCTCTCTGCTGTGGCCTGGGAAAGCAGTAGAAGATGGCCCAAGTGCTTGGGCCCCTGCACTCACATAGGAGATCTGGAAGAGGCTCCTGCTTCCGGATCAGCTCAGCTCCAGCCGTTGTGGCCATTTGGGGAGTGAACCAGCAGATGGGAGACCTCTCTGTCTCTCTCTCTCTTTCAAAAAAATAACTCTCTGTAACTTTCTCTTTCAAAAAAATAAAATGAATCCTTAAAAAAAAAAACCTCAATGATGTTTCATCTCCCCGTTTAGAATGGTTCTCATACAGAAATCAACAACAACAACAAAATGCTGGTGAGGATGTAAGGAAAAAGGTACTCTAATCCACTGTTGGTGGGAATGTAAACTAGTACAGCCCTTGTGGAAGACAGCATGGAGATACCACAGAAAGCTGAAAATAGATTTAACATATGACCCAATGATCATACTCCTGGGAATTTACCCAAAGGAAATGAAATCAGTTATGAAAGAGTTATTTGTACTCCCATGTTTATTGTAGTTCCATTCACAATAGCTAAGATATGGAATCGACCCATCAACTGAAGACTGGATAAAGAAATTATGGCATATATATATGCATATATATATATATATATATAGTATGTAATACTACTCAGCCATAAAAAATGAATGAAATTCTGTCTTTTGCAACAAAATGGATGCAACTGGAAACCATTATACTTAGTGAAGTAAGCCAGTTCCAAAAAGACCATATGTTTTCTCTGCTCCGTGGTTATGTAATGCATAGAAGTGAAATTGACATCTTGAGATTCGATGATTGCTTAAAGTCCTTGTCTCTACTGTTGAGGAACAGTGTTTTTTCCTTCTATCTGTTGAACTCTTTACTTAGTGTAGGGTTATTCTTATGACTATAAAGTAAACTGAAAGTAGATCATTGTAAACATTAAGAGAGGGAATAAGAGAGGAAAGGTAGGACCATGGGCAGGAGGGAGGGTAGATTAGGAAGTAACACTATGTTCCTAAATCTGTATATATGAAATACATGTAATGTGTTTACCTTAAATAAATAAAAACAAAACACTTCATTAAGAAAAAAAAAGGAAAAACCTCAATAATTAATATCATCTCAAAATGTCTAGGGCTATAACTATAGAAATTAATATTTTAATTGCCACATTTACTGACATTCAAGCTACAAATTGGCTTCTTATATATTATTTATGTGAATTTGACTAGTGAGAATTTATCATTAAGTGATTTTAATATCAAGTATTTACATATTTTATATTTAAAATATTAACTCCAAGTTAATAAGTATTATTTCAAGAAAATAGCTTATGAACATATCAAGAGGGAAGATGCATTTCAGAATTTGGTTGAAATTATGATGCAAAACTATCATTTAATTATATCTTTTCTTATTTGAGTGTAAATTGGTATTTGCTAATCCTTCCTGGTATACACACTATACATTTACAAAAGGGTAATTATTGGTTTAATGCTACTAGTTTTACCTTGGAATATTGCTCGCGATCAAGTTCTTGACTAGAACCAGACCCTGTTGTCTGCTTAAATCGATGCACTTTCATTTTCATCTGTCTTGTTCGCTCCTCCACTACTAAGCTTGCTGCAAAAACACACAATGGAAGTCTATTAAAACACGTGAATCACCTTTTAGGAACTGAATGGTGTAAGATTGCAATGCTTTTGAAATGACTTCAATTAAATGAAATTCAGAAATAACATGTGACTAATAAACCAAATACAGAATATACAATAGTAGTAACTGTTAATCTGAAGATGAACATGATTCAAATTACATAGAATGAGGAACACAGATGTTAGTAACAAAATATAAGTACCTAAGGACTACATCTGACTGAATTATTTTCAATTACCTTCATAAATAATTATGTGAAACCAAATTTAACTGTGAAAATATGTTTTCAACTTAAAACTGCTGGTTTTGCATGTACATATATAGCGAAAACAAATATCCATACTTAACACATCACACATATATGCACATGCTTACATGCATGCACTAGCCCACTTGACTTCCTCAGCTAACAGAAGTCACCTATAAGAATCTATCTTATTTAGGCATTTTTATTAAACCATTCAATTATACCAGTAACTTCTCATGACTATTTTTTATTCTTAAAAATGGACCTACCTAAAGATTTGCTTTCTGTTTCTAATGGTGGTTTGAAGCACATATATAAAACTCGTAAATTTTAAAAATGAGAGGTACACATTTTAGCTATTTAATTTATCATTGGTCAAAAAATGTATTCCATTTTAGTCATTATTTATCTTCTAAGTAGAAGGTGCAATTGTTTATGGAGCAAGAATTGCAGCCTTCAAGGACATAAGTTACTTTAAGACAGAATTCATTATAAGCAACTTAGTTTCAAAACTCCACCTTAAATTTTACACTTGCACAACTTAAAGATAAAAAGGGAGCTAAGGGTACAGTTCTGTGCCATGTAAACTATTCAGAAGGTTATATGAAGAAAGTTCAAATATTCCATGGAAAAATGGAATTAAAAGTTACATTTATTTTGGCATAAAATATGTTAAATCCTGTACAATTTTCATAATACCCTTTACCATGACCTTTTTGGAGGCACCGTACTCATGCTGCATGAGACCTAAGTTCACATTTCACAAGTTATCTAGTGTCAATGCCCCACACTTGTCAACCTCCTCAAGTGCTACAATTCATTTTTAAGTTGTGAGCATGTATCTGTAAGGAGAAAAAATTGTGACTAATATATTACTGGTGTTTCCGCCAAGGGGACTGAATGGTTTAAAAGTTAATGGAAATGTTGATATATTTCATTGACTTGGCTATTGATTTCATCTTTTACAAGGAATCTGTAAAGGAATTTGCTGACAAACGCTTCCATTCAAGTTATTAAATACGGCCTATCGTCCTTGATAAAAGATACTGACACTTTAACTTTTATTGGGTGTTCAATATAAATAGCCCAAGAGATAAGTATGTAAATTTTGAAATTTGTGGCTGTTTTAATCTTTGGTACTTTCAGTACCAAACTATTAAATGTTTCATTTTGTTTGAATTCAGTAAATGAGAAACAAATCTCAATCCCTCACATTATCTTTATATGAATTAAGCACTGCTTTATAACTGCTGTGAAAATGCTGACTTTCAAAGACAACAAATGGCGACTATCATTACAAATAGAGGACAGTTCAATGGAGCGCTTGAGAAAGGCAGTTCAGAAGTTTATTAATTACTTGACAACATATTAAGAGCCAAAAGGAGTATTATAAAGCAAAATACTATATGAAAGTAATTAGGAAATGAGACCAAAGCAAAGTTACAGAAAAATAATGTATTATATATTTACAGAAAGTCGTGCAATACACAAAAACATCTGCTCTCTGCCTTTTGCCTACGTGGTGGTATCTCTGGGTACAACCTCAATCCTTCGCTTTGAGCTTTGAGGAAGTCAAATAAATTGTAATCAGTTGTATTCTTTAGTTGAAGCTTAAAGCAACTGAAAACAACCTCAATTTGTAATTAAAATGTATTTAAATCATTTATTCACGCCAATTAACACTAATTTTAATAAGTTTTGATACTTATTAGTCCATAGCTTTTTAATATTCACTGTCAGTGTGATGCAAATCTTAAGGTGAATGGTTACTTAAGCACTGATAACACTGATGATTATTTAAGAGTGACTAGCCTTGGCTGGCGCTGTGGCTCAATAGGCTAATCCTCCGCCTTGTGGCGCCGGCACACCGGGTTCTAGTCCCGGTTGGGGCACCGAATTCTGTCCGGGTTGCCCCTCTTCCAGGCCAGCTCTCTGTTGTGGCCAGGGAGTGCAGTGGAGGATGGCCCAAGTCCTTGGGCCCTGCACCCCATGGGAGACCAGGAGAAGTACCTGGCTCCTGCCATCGGATCAGCGCGGTGCGCCGGCCGCTGCGGCCATTGGAGGGTGAACCAACGTCAAAGGAAGCCCTTTCTCTCTGTCTCTCTCTCTCTCACTGTCCACTCTGCCTGTTAAAATAAATAAATAAAAAAGAAAAAAAAGAGTGACTAGCCTCAAATAGTCCCAAATGGTTCCAAGTGATTGAATCTTGCCAGATAACACCACATTTCTCTGAATAGGATTACTTAGTTTATGATATGGCCACATTTAAATCTTTGATTTGCAAAACTCAAAACTGAATCATAAGACAGTAGAAACAACTAAGATAAATCTTGACATGATTTTAAACTTCACTTTTATTTTCCATAAATGACTAATGTATTTATTACCAAAGGAGGTAAAGCTGAATTCTTTCAAACTGTCAAAGAAAAAAAAATCTCCGAATATTATTACTCAAAGTAACAAGAGGATCCCCTTGGTTCTCTTCAAAAATATGCAGTTGCTATTCTATCCTCAGGGCTTGCTCTCAAATTCAAGAATGGAAGCCAAACACAAATACCTTATCAATTACTCATTTCAAAAGGCCAGATAATTACATGTTGTCACATACTTTTGTAGTCCTTTTCATTATTTCCTAATGACATGTATTTTACTGCACATTCTGAAAAAACTGCTTATATAAGTTAACCTATCATGCTTTTTTCATAATTACTGAATAATCTTCCTTCAGTGTGAATATGGATATTTTGTAACTTTACCAAATACTGTCTTTGTGTTACACTTTACTTTAGTGCATGGTAAATAAAGTGACACTATCTCTGGATTAAAGGTGTACCAATCTAAATTTTAAGATACAGTTGTGAAGTAAAGTTGAATACAAAAATTTGAATCAGAAAACATTATTTCATTAATTTACACGATTTATGCAGAAAATAATGGTACTAATTAAAAGTGAATTAAGTCCTCGGAATGGGATTATCTATCAAGTATATCACTACAAGCAAAATTAACAGCTCAGTGAGTTTAATAACTCACTTTGAAAATAATGATCACTGATCATCATATAAAATACAGTATTTTACTAATTTTAATTCCAATAGTAAAACTAAAATATGAAATGAAATATTTTCCGATTTTCCCATAAATCATAGCTTTAAATTAACATTTTAAGAGCATCTAAATGATCATGAATGTAAACTTAAAAAAAATCACTAAACTGATACTATTTCTTCACAGAATGATAAAAAACTGGGGGATTTAGTAGGTTTTACTTCTAAAAATTTTTCACATAGTAACAAGTGATTCTTTTCATTTCATACAACAAATATAATTATTATATAATGAAATTTTAGTGTTTATATATGCAATCAAGAGATAGTGATCTTTACTACAGACTATATTTGCACTCTAATTCTAGACAGTGTGTTACAGATAGGACATAAACAACTTATTTCCCTTAGTATCTAAGACATAATTAATATTGCAAACATTTTTGAAGGAGTTCAAGGGTTTAAAATTTTACTATAAGTTACAAACTGAATGGTATTCTTTATGGTGACTAAATTATACTTTATAAAAAGGATGTATTTACAAAAATTATTGAATAATACCCATTTCATTAAAATGATATCATTGTTTTTCGCAAACTCTAGAATTTAGAACCAATGAATCTATTTATATTAAAAATAAGCAACATTACATTTAGGAAAGCATGAAAGTGGAACTTCTTTTTACAAGTGAAGTTAAAACTGAATGCATGAAGTCATTTCTTCTAAAATGAAAAAGAAGAATTCTGATTGAAGCATACATGTTAAGAAAAGTATAGTTTAAAAAATGTTATAATTTAGTGAACTTTTAATGTAAAGCATTAGTATTTAAAATTAAAACTCAGATTAAAATAATTACTTCTATAATTGTGTCCCATACTTTGGTAAGTTTTTTGTTTTTTTTTTAAGATTAAGATTTCATTCATTTATTTGAAAGTGCTACAGAAAGGGAGAAACAGAGAGAGGTATCTTCCATTTGCTGGTTCATCCCCCAGATGGCCACAATGGCCAAGGCTGAGCCAGGGAGAAGGCAGGATCTAGGAGTTTTTTCTGTGTCTCCCATGTGGGTGGCAGGGGCCTATAGAGTTGGGCTATCTCTGGCTGCTTTTCCCAGGCTATTATCTGGGAGTTGGATTGGAAGTACAGCAGCTGAGTCACTAACCTGAATCCATATGTGATGCTACCTTGGCAGCTGGTAGCCTTACCTGCTACATCATAGTGCCAGCACCTGATAACAATTCTTAATCTAGCATTACAGATATCTTTGTTAAATCTATAAATGAGGTGACAATCATTTGCAAATTTTGTGTTTCTGTCTATATGTACTTTTCTAGATCTATTCCTTTCATAATATTATTAAAGAAGCCTATGACTAAAAAATAGAATGGCTTAGGAATCCTAGTAAATACTCTAACTTACCATAAAAATTTTCTATAATATTGTCTTCTCCAAAGACAATGGAAATCTTCTAGTAAACTCTGGTTTACAAGACTTTTTCAACTTGTAAAAATTATAAACATAGTTATGCAAAATTCTGGACATGATTTAAACAATAATTTTCATAAATACATATAACATTTATTTTTGAATTTGTATGCATAAATGTATTTGCTCTGATATTAAATGTCCTTAACATTTTTCATACATTTATGCATGCATAAATAAACATGACTTTA